ATAATATTGCATAACAGTCCCTATAAAGATAATCTGAACTTAAGTAGATAAATTAGAAATATTCAAAATTTTTGTATTCCAACCCTTACTCTATGTGATATCGGTATGTGATTTATAAATAGTTAATAACTTTCAGCGAATTGATTTAAAAATAATTTACATAAAGTTAATATTATATTATTTGTGACTTATAAATAGTTAATAACTTTCGATGAATGATTTAAAAATAATTTACATAAAGTTAATATTATATTATTCTTACCTCATTAATCTTACTATTTCGCCCCATTCTGATGCAATTATGCCGCTGTAATTCAGGGTCAGCATTTATTTGTGCAGTATGCTTCTGCGTCTTATGATGCTGCTTTAGAATCCTCTCAATCGCACCAGAATGTTGCTTATACCCAGGTAAATTTTTAATTAATGCTGGGATTAATTTTGATCTTATGGTCTTCGACTGATCAGACCATTTGATCAGAGAATCCAATTTTAAAGAGGACAATTTACCACCTCTATTAATATTTTAATTTCATCCTATAATAATAATAATAATAATAATAATAATAATAATAATAATAATAATAATAATAATAATAATAATAATTATAATAATAATCTATTAAAAAATGACAGGGTTAGATAATAAATATATTTATACAAAGGTGGGTTGTTTGCTCCTGAGTTAGTTGTCTTAGTAGTCTATGATTATTGCTGCTGCTACTATGACTGCTGCTGCTGCTGCTAGTAGAGCGAACACTGCTGCCAGAATGACTTCCACTGCTTTCACTATCTGATCGCCTTCTATCATCTTTACTACTAGTAGTGCTAGCACTACTAGAGCTAGAGCTTGATAGTTCAAGCCCTTTTCCTTTACTTTTGAGTACAGCGATTGCTTCTGCAATCGCCTTGGTGATAAACTTCCCAGTTACTAAAAAAATATTATATATTAAGTTTAATAATTAATAAATTACTATGTCAGCTTATATAAATCTTACATTTTTTTTTTTATGTTTACATGATCTCTTTTTAGTTTTCTTCTTTGCCATTTTACTACTTTCAGCTTTAGGTAAACACTTTTCTTTACCCATTTTAAACGATCATTTGAATATTTTAGAAGATTTAAAGGTGAAGTTATATGAAATGATAAATGTGAATGACTAAAAATTGATTTTACAAAAACTTGGGAAATATATCGTCTTTTATAAATATTATATTAATAATTAATATCGTTTAAATAAAAAAATTACTTTAATAGGAAGATA